TGAAGTATTTTTTAGGACCAACAGATATCAATCTAGTTTGTTTGAAAGCTAGTTTGTATTATTCTATTATTATAAATTGCTCCAGTGAAAGACATTCTCCTTCTCCTTGCTTAAAAAATTACGTCTCCTAAATCAGTACTGTGCCACAAAATTAAGATGGTATTTAGATAAAATCCACCATGCACTGTTAGTTTCAAACAGAACACTATTTGCATGATAACCAGTGAGTTCACTGTCCCATTGCTGTGTGTTTTATGCTCCTGCTCCCCATTCACCTCCCACGCAGCTAGCAGGGAAGGCGAACAGTAAGCCACTAATTACCTAATGAGCAAGCATTCCTGCAGTGGTGGTGAAGGGTGAATTTATCTGGAGGATTTGCTATGAGTAGAGTGTGACATGGACTGGAGATGATGCTGGACAGGAATTAGAACAGGTCAATGTGGAGAGTGGCCTGGTAGGAAGAGGGGCTGCGGACTAGGAGCAAAGGGAGGTATAGGCAGATGTTGCCTCCCAGCTCTCTCACTTCTATCTGGATAAGCTGGTTAGGGTCAGTAGTCTCATGCATTGCTCTCTGCCCCCTAATCCATCTGGAAACTTGACTTCTCTCCTTCCCTACCACTGGTGGTATTCCAGCCTCATTCCTTGCACTACTTCCATCGGCTCCCTGGCAGCCATCCTCATGGCACTAAGCATGCAGGGTTTCCTCTCTGCCTTCCCCCGTCTGAGACCTGCTGCGTCAGAATGTGGTGCAGGGAACAGTCCTAGTGCTGCACAAGTCGAGATTATTGAGAATGGCTGTTTGGAGCTGCAGAAGCTCAGTCAGCTCCCCACCTATGTCCTGCTGGGGAAAATACTCCTTTTGTCATTCACACTGTTAGGAGCATCTGTCTCTATTCCTGCAGTACAGATCTACCTTCTACCATTGCACTTCCCTGCCTCCTTTATTCTTGCTGATAGTATTTGTCTCTTGACACTCAGTTTTGCTTCCCACCCTCCCTGCCACTACATGGGGTGGGGTCCCAGCTGGACTGGCGTAAACCAGTACTGCCACGACTCGCTCAGGCTTTAAGTGCTGCTGTGGCTGAAGGGTAGCCATAAACCCACCACTTTACATGGGCTGTAATTACCTTGGTTTCACCAAAGAATTGTAGGCAAGCACAAAAGTACAGCCTGTGGGACCTGGCTGCCCAGAGGGCACCACAGTGTTTGCCTTCCTTCTGGCCTTCATCCTCGTTCCACAGCCAGCACCCTCACTATGGGGCCAGTGAGGTCATGTCAGCTCAGACATTTTCCAGGTATGCACTGGAAACTGTGGCCACTGCACATATGATATTTGTCAAGTTGAGTTAAAAGACACTTTGTGGCAACATACATGATCAAACAGTGACAGCTTCCTACTTTCAGAACATGAAAAGGATGCCACTTGTAGTCTACTTGTAGCAGACTAAGCCATAAAACATAAAAGCTTATACTGGCAAATAAAAACACAAAACTTAACATTTAGCTGCAAAACAGACAACAAAGATATATTTGCATTTCCATAGCAACCTTACAATGTAGAAAATCTTCATGTTGGAGGGTTTAATGATATATAAAATTCACAATTATGAGAATACTCACCAATACAGCTTAGATTTGCCAAAACAAAGTCGATCAGTTGTCAGCATCTAATCCTTTCAGTGTAGACTTATGACAATCGGTTATTGTTAAATCTTTACTCCATTTTAAACTGCTGTTTGCCAGTACTGCATTAACTTTTAATATATATCCATAAGTGAATATACAATATAAAAAATACCTACATTCATCTCTCAGTACTAAGCATACGAGTAATCAGATGCTGTTGCTATTCTGCTGAAAAATTTATTTTAAAAAAATCACTGTAGCAATAGACTGAAATATCTGTCTGAAACTGATGGAAGAAATTCCTTTATGTGCAAACAAAATAAAACTGTTCTTCTCCAAAAATTTATGTTGTTCATTCTGTCACGTAATCTTAGTACATTTGCATGGGACGCATGGGAGGACCAAAGGATTTTGAAATTAGTAGCAGGTGACTTACCTTTGTGCTGATCAAACACGGATGATGAACTGAAATCCATTGTGATCTATCTAATTATTTACAACCAGACCAGACAAATGCCATCTCCAGGGTTTTCAGGGAAGAATGTCATGTATTATAGTACACACTGCAACGATAGCTGTTACTAGTCTCCCTGTCAGAGAATGAAACTCGCTTTACGGCTGCAGGTTGTAGACAAGGCAAGAGCCTGATGGAAACGCTGTTATGGACCTTCTTAAAAGGACGTCCCTCGCAGCTGAACTGAGATTCTGAAAAATGTCACGTCTTCAGCGAGTGGCACTGCCTACGAGGAGCCGAGAGATGCTGCGGCTCCCCCAGCCCCAGCAGCCGAGGGCTGGGTGAGTGGGACTGGGCTGGCAGACGGAGCATGTGCAGAGCTCCAGCGCAGCTCGGGTGCAGACATCCATCCTGGCTCCACGTGCTCCAGGGATGGACAGCCCTGCGGGCAGCGTGCCTGTGCGCTCACACTCAGCATGTGGCTGGGGATGGTTTGTGAAACGATGCTTTCAGACATCGCCTGATTTAGCACCTTCACATTGAACACAAATTAGCAAATTCAGAGTTTGTTAAAGTACAATGAAGGGATAACAACTGACAGCATATTACTGTGGCTGGAGTGGACAGCATTAGCTACAACCACACAGCACAACAGATAGAACAGTGCACAGCTGTGCTGGTTTTGGCTCGGGTAGAGTTAATTTTCTTCAAAGCAGCTGGTGAGTGTATGGCTGTGTTTTGGGTTTGCTGGAAAGAGAGATGTTTTAGCTGTTGCTGAGCTGTGCTTACACAAGGTCTGGGCCTTTTCTGCTCCTCACCTCACCCCACCATGCTGGAGAGCACAAGGAGCTGGGAGGGGACACTGCCAGGACATTTGATCCTAGCTAGGCACAGGGATATCCCATCCCATATGGTGGCATTCTCAGCATGTAAAGCTGGAGGAACAAGGAGGAAGGAAGGGACATTCAGAATGATGGTGTTTGTCGTCCCAAGTCACCATTACATGTGATGGAGCCCTGCTGTCCTGGGGAATGGCTGAACACCTGCCTGCTCAGGGGAAGGGGTGAATGAATCCCTTGTTTTGCTTTCCTTGTGCACACAGCTTTTGCTTTCCCTGTTAAACTATCTCAACCCATGAGTTCATTCACTCCTCCAGTTCTCTCTCCTATCCCACTGTGGGAAGTGAGTGGCTGTGTAGGGCTGAGTTGCCAGCTGGTTTTAAACAACAGGGAATGCTTTTTTTTGACTGGGCCTCTGCCTTTCCAGGTTGAGAACTCAGACTCTGTATTGTAAAGGGAAGGGGACCCTGGTCAGCTTTGCTTTTTGCTACGTTATTTCTGTGGAAGAAATAATATTAAATGGGCTAACTTGGAATTTACCTGGGGGAGTAGATGGCCAGCAGTGCCTAGTGACTGATGGATGGGAGGAATATAAAAAAGTCACTTAGCACTGGTGCACTGAAAGAGACACATCATTACTGCTAAATAGGGCAAAGTAATATATGAAAATTAGGAAAGGCAATATACTTTTGGCCCAAAAGTGAAGGTAGGACCTACACTAAAGCTGTGCCTATGTTTGGTCAGCTTAGGAAGCCCCTACACTTTACTGATTGTATTTATTCTGTTCTGGTGTTTTGACTAATTCCTGTGACTACTGCAGATGCTAGTGACAACATACACGTGGACACTGTAGGAGTTGTATCTGGAGCTCATTCACAACCAAGCACCTGTTCCTGAACATAAACACCAACTATGTGTTTGAGAGAAGATAGTATGGTCCAGGAAGCAACACAGCCTCAACAGCTTGAAATGAACACTGAAATTTTCCGAATTGTGGCAGTGTGATGTACTCAAAGGTCCTTAACTGTGGAGCGGCATGCAGGAGGACTGTGAAGCCAGACACTGGCTGTTCTTCTTTTCCCTACTGCTTTCGTTTTGTGGTTTGCTTTGGCTCAGGCAAACCTGTTTACATTGAGGAGGGACCCACCATGTGGCAAGTGCTGTCTGTGCAGTCTGGGAGCAGAGTCTTGGTTGTGCAGATTGTCGGCTCCTAACTGGCATCTCCTTGCCAGGAGGGTGGCTCCGGTTGTGGCCCTGGCAGAGGAAGTCCAGTCCATCCAGTCTAAAACCCTGCCATGGCTGCTGACTTCATGGAGGAGACACTGGAGACATCAGTGTCTCCTGACCAGTGTCTCTGGTCAGGAATTTTGAACTGCAATTCATCACCCCGGTGATCTGTGAAAGATATGACCAGAGGCCCTGTATCCTCTGTGTACACAGGATTTCTGAGCCTGGGCACTGCTACAGTGCAGGTTACACAGGTGGTCCACTGTCCTCTACTTAAGCCAGTCAGTTAAATACTCAGAATTTTACCTGCCCATTTGCTATTACCAGGTCCTCATATTTTTATTCGGCTCCTGAAATGAAGGCAGCGGACCTTGGAGAATACTAGTTCAGTCTCTCTTGCAGTGCATTAGCCTGGGGATGAGGTGCACTGCAGGTATGCAGCCACGGAAATCGGGGGAGGAACACCTGGCAGCTGATGGCTTGTGGGTCCCACATGTGGACAAATTGGCTACAGCACATTTACCAGGCATCAGCTGGCCTTCAGCTACAGCAAATTAGGCACTTCCTCTGAGACAGGTGTCCACAGCCCACAGACACAGAGTTGTGTTTAAGACCTGACAACTTCTTCCCTCTACATCCATCAGAAGGGAAGCAAGGCCAATGCTTTAGCAAAACACCTTCTCCCATGTAGATGCAAGCACCAGGTGAATACGGTTCTGTGCCTTGGCTGTGGTAGACATACCACAACTCAGAGGCTGCCAGAAAAGCTGATTGAGGAGTTGGGCTTAAGTCACTGACTTCTCTATCTTGCCTCTTTAGAAGAAGGAAATACCTCCAAATTCCTCAGGACATCTTCAGCTCAAGTGGCTATGAAAGCAACCCTGGCTAAGGTCAACAAAGCAACAAAAGTATTAGAGGTTAGTATAGGCAGTAAATAAAAATGGTAGCTTTAATGTTGTTAATTTACATTATTCTTTAATTTCAGCAAATTGACTTTTTATGCTGTCAGCAGCACTTATTTTTTTGGGGGATTTTTTGTGGGGGAGGAGAGGGGAAGAAAGCCCAGGTACTGAAAAGTGAAGAAGAGAGAGTAGCAGAAACACAGAGCTTTTTTTAATTTTATTTTCATGTTTGTTTGCCCACATTTGCTGTGTATCAGTGTTTTGCTGTATACAGGGTAGTAAACTCTCCTTCTCCTTCTAATTGTTGTTCACTGGGTGAAAGTAAAAGTTGCAGTGAAGTCACAGGGAGTGAGTGAAACATGTATTCAAATGCTATGTAAATATTGTTTACTCGGCTGCAGAGCAGGGCTGAAGACTGGCAATACAGCGACTGAGAGCTCTTTGGTGCTTCCTGCTGACAGCTCCTGCTCTGTGCCATCATGAACAGACTCAGCTTACAGATCTTCTCTTCTGCTGCCCCTGCAGAGGACACTGGCAAGTGGGCAAGGGTTTTGCATTCCTTGGATGCAATGACACAGTCAGTGCATTAGAGGAAGGATAAGCCTTTTCCCTTGCACGGTGCCTGGAGCAGCAGTGCCCTCGTCTGTAAGGAGCACTGCCAGCAGTCACTACTGCAGAGGTAGCAGCTCCAGTGGTGAAGTGCTTCCCTTTCTTCAGGCTTTCATCACAAGCCTGACTGTTCACACCCTCAGTATTGCTTGGCAAGCATGCAATCTAGGGAATTGAAGGCAAAATTAACAGAGGGATACCATCAGGCTTCACTTCTGGTTTCTAATGAATCTATTAGTAATAATTGGATTGTATTTGACATATCATGCTATACATAAACTAACTCTTCATCGAATTTGGAGCTCCATCTGCAATGTTTGGAATGTTAGCACCAAACTCAGATGTGTGAAGAAGTCAGACCACTAGCCAGGCAGAAAAAGTCAGCTGTGCTTACTGGTTGGGACTGATTTGGGATGCACCCAAATGAACAAAACCTCCCTCGAAATGTCAGCAGATAAACAGTGACTGGAGAAAGGAGAATAAAGTCACAACACATATTAGAGATTCCCACATGGAATATAAGACAGAGTGAGGACCTACTCTACTTTGCTCCATGCTTTATAAGGCCAAATACATCCTCTGCTCAGTCAGTATGACCTTTTGCTCTTGACTTCAATGGGATAAGGGCATCTCTTATGGTATGATTTATTGGGATATCAGTAGCAACCTGTGAAACAAATTTAGTAACAAGCCAATATGCCTTAAAGTCAATTCTGTAACTAGAGTAGGGCTGTTAAACAGTTACTGGGTTTATGGGTATTGTTTTCCCAAATGATAATCTGTTTGTAATTAATGAACCCAAACTTATTTTTTTTTTTTCTAAGTGTGATTGCTGTGCCCACTTCAGAAGGAGTGGGGAGTCTCTCAGTGAGTTTACTGCCCTTACCATGCTTCTTGTTACCCTCCAAAGACTTCCTTATGATATTCCAGGTCTAAACCTGCATTCAGTGCCTCTGGCATGGTGTAAGGCTGGTTTGGTGAGCCAGTCGCAGTGCTTGAGCCAGATGTGCCCGTGGAGGAGCAGATGGGGTGGGTGTGGAGACCTGCTGAGTCAGGAGAGTCACAGCTCAGGTGTATCTGTCCTGGGTACACACCCTGTCTGAGACACCAAGGAGCCAGAGGTGGGGCATGTCACTTTCGTAGTTTTACTCTATTAACGAGAAATTTCTTTGCAAACCCTCACTTTTAAATTTATTTTAAAAATACCCTGTTATTGTTTGTTCTACAGGATAACTTAAAGAAAGAAAGGCAAGTATCTGTTCCAGGTCAGATCAAAAGTTTACCTGTCCTGGTCATCACAATGTCTGACCAATAGCGCTCACCAGCAGCTGTCTGGTGACTTACAGGACCAGTGTGCAGTGAGTGACATTTTGTCTGAGCACTCCCCTGGTCTCCTGCCCTTTTAATATCTTGCAGTGTGGTCTCCAAGGCTGTGATGCTGCAGAGTTCCAGAAGGTGGTGGGCTAGGATCAGCACTTGGCTCCCTGAACCAGCAGGAGCAACTCTTGAGTAGAGTAGAGAACACTTACATTGCTTTCCATTAAATCCTTTTAAGCACTGAAAGAAAAGTTCATTTGTGGGGAACCAGTAATCTCTGACATTATGTAGTGTGTTAAGAATGCCTCAAAATTAATGAAGTCCCATTCCACATATCACATAACAATACAGAGCATGACTAATCATCTATGAATGTGAAGCTCTGAGAGCCTTGATGTAAACCTTTGTGATAGTAGGTTTGCATTGGTAAAATACAGGAAAAGCTTAACATGTGTCTTTACCCCTTTGACTCCAAAATGCTCTATCTTAAACAAGGAAAGCTAGGAATTTAAATATAGATAGCAAATTACAGGTGGATTGGAAACAATATTGAGGAGAATGGATCAAAAAGACAAAACAGAGTGACTGGTGTAAGTTAAAAGCAAAGGGAGAAAATCACCCATTGTAGCATTGCCTCAGGAGAAGGGCTTGTTGCCAGTGGATGAGGATGTATGCAGTGGAAATTGAGATTTTGCTAGGACAGCCAGACCAACTCATCTTTGTACTGGATCCGGAGCAATAACACCCAGTGGATGTCTGAATGTCTTTGGAAGCCTATTTGCACCATTCTGCTTTTGTATGATTGCTGTACCAGTTTTCCTATGGTACACACAAGATTGGGCTGGTGAGGGAGTGTCAGCTGCTCTGGGAGCACTACCTGCTATACGGATGGCTGTGTTCAAACTCTGCAATGGGACACATGGATGACACTGGCAGTGTAACAAATCCAAACAGGCACAACTAGACAGGGAACAGGAAATCTAAGTGAGAAGTAAATTCTTAGAGGAACAGCTTAAAAAAAATCCCTATTTCATCCCCTGCTTTTGAACACTTTTATATTATGTGAAAGCCAGATGTGAAGCATCCAGTTCAATTAGCTGGGGTTGTAGAAACAACAGAAATCTATTTATGGTGTTGTAGGATTATTATATCATGAAGATCTCCTCTGTTCCTTATTAATGCTTACAATATACTGATATCAGTCAGCCACACTTTATATTTTTTTCCGTAGCAAGCCATGGAACTGCATGCCTTCCTTCTAGTCCTGTTTCTCTGAATTTCTTTCTCTGCCTCTTAATGCAGAAATCAGAGGACAATAATAAGACTAAATTGCCCACCTGTGTCTTTGTGTTGTGTTCTTTTTAATGATTGCATCTTCATATAATATAGTGGATGTTTCTGTACCAGGGCTAAGTTTATGTCCTTGGGCTGCTGCCCCCTCCTGTCTGACCTGTGAAAACCCCAACATTGCTTACAGCCCTTATCCTGACAACTTACCACTGGACTGGGGAGGTAGCATGGCGCAGGGAAGTTGACTGGCACAGTGAGGAAGTTGTCAAGGCATGGCTGCAGTCAGTGACAAATCAGATTTACACATAAGACAAGTGGTTGCTGGAGAAAGTAGTAACATCGACAAAAGTGTTTTGGTGGGGTCACGTTGCGATGGCAGATGACATTATGAAGGTGACCATCAGAATTTACACAGTGCCAGAAGAATAACTTTTTGCTTCCTCCATTTATGTCTTGTTATTGACTTGTGTCATTTTTCTATTTACAACTACAACCTGAAAGCAGTTTACTTTTTCAACTGCTGATCATTTTTCTACTGTATATTAACTCCATCACATGCAGGCAAAAGTAAGTACAATGCAATGACTTGTGGCAGAATGTTACTTGTGCAGCTTCAGCAATGGCCAGGGTAGTCCAGATGTAAACAGATAAGTAATGCAGCTGCATAATATTGCATCAAAAGCTGCTCCTCTGACTCTCTTTAGTGTGATAACAGTGAGGTGTGTAATATGGAGTGAATGAGCTGATGAATTCTTTTTTTATTTGGGATAGTTGAAGGTATTAAATAAAGTCTTTGATTAGCAATATTTTACATTTCATTGCCAAACTATGTCAAAGCTCCAGATATGAGAAACACACAAAAAAGGTGTCAGTAACATGCAAGCTATAAATTATGGCACAAGGGATTTAATCCTGCATTCCTGGCATACCTGGGACCCCTTGTGATATCTTATCCCAGATTATGAGCTTTACTTCACGTTTGCAAGGTGACAAGTGCATTAGTAGTGATGGAACACATAAGTCTGTGGTTTGGCATTGTTACACTTACATAGAAGGGGCAATTTAATTATGTGCCAATGAAAGTCAAACAAACCCACAAACATTTAACCAGTATCTCACCATATGTAGTGCACTCACTGACAGAATTTGAAGTTAAGCAGCTGAGTGCTACTTAACTCAAGCAGGTTAACTGAGGCAGGTTCAGAAGAAAGCCAAACACACCAAGCTAAACAACATGATCCTTTAGAAGACTTACACTCTTCTGATAGTCCAAGGTGCATCAGATTTGCAGCCCATCAGGTCTCTGGATTGCAGCAGCATTTATCATTGCTTTGCTGTAGCCAGAATAGTTCCCAGACTTAGAAGACCTGTTTATGGATGCCTCCTTCCCCTGCACAATTACTATATAATTATGATGAAATTATGATGGTATTGGGAGGGCTAAGCAGACACTGTGCTCCCATGGTGTCATGTAGGACTGAAACCCAACCTTAAAAGGGTTTGAGGTCCCAAGATTTTCCAGTATACCTAGAGAAGACATAAAAAGGTTAGGAAAAGTCAGTGAGGTCAAGTGTATTGTAGAGAACACTTGGAATGCCATAGCAGGGTCACACATCTGGCTTGCAGTTGTGGGACTATCAAAGGGCTTCCAAATGGCCATGGCAGGTGAGTGCTGGGTCACTTGATATCCTGGTCTTGGAGCAAGGATGGCCTCACTGATTAAATACTAAATTGGAAGAGCGTTGTGTTCTGCTGCAAGTCTGCCCGCACAGGCTCTGCCGTTTCAGTTTACGGGAGAT